TAAAGTACATGATTTCCAGTTCACAGAGGGATTTCTAAACCCAGCCAAAGATTTGGTTGTCATACCTCTAGGTTAATTGATAACATACGTTATTTAGATTTTAAAAATGTAAGACCTTCCACTTATTGTCCTAAGATCGCCACCCATCAGAATAGCACGAATAGTTAGAGATGATTATGAAAGATGTAGACAGAAAAGAGAAGTAAAATCAAAAAGAAACAGGGAAGGAAGCAATCAAAGTCAAATTATGAGAATAAATTGTCAAAAAATTGAACCTAAGTCTTTATTCTACCATGTTTTACATGAAGGGAAAGAAATATAGTTGGGAGAGCAAAAGAGAGAAGCTATCTACTGAAAGAGGAAGAAAGGAAAATGCAATTCATATGATATTTGTCTTTTGTAAAATTTGGTTTTATTAAACATAGAGTAGGTACAAAAGTATATTTTAGACACTTCAACCTAGAACTGAATCAACATATCACTCCTGAGACCATAGGCAAATTGGTGAGCTTCTTAGGGACAATGACACCTATCTCCAGGAGTCATTATGAGGAAGAAGTGAAACTCTGCAGGGCATGTGCCTGATGTACAGGGGGCTCAGTAAATGGTTTTGTTCCAACAAATATGTATCAAGAAGCTTCTGTGAACCAAGCATCATACCAGCTGCCAGGAATATTATGGTGAGCAGAATCAGTCCAGAAGGGGCAACAGAATTAATTAATAACCATAAAAATAAGTATAAATAACAGATATGAAAAGGGCTATGGGGGCTGAGAAAGTGTATACTTGGGAAGTTTGATCTCTTCTGAAAGATCAAGAAAAACCACCTTCAGCGCTGCTTACACCCACTTTCTTGAAAAGCCTACCCTGCTTACCCCCAACCAGATATGATTCACTGGCCTGTGAATTCCCAGAAAGAAGCGTGAAGCCTGTACATGACATTTATCTTACCCTATTGTGTCTAGCATTATAACTAGTAGTATGCATGCCCTGTCTCCTCTACCAGATTATAGACTCTTTGTAGGCAGACAGCAGGCCATCTACAATGTTCGAATGCTTCACACCATCTATTAAAGTCTATTATTTCAATAAATAAGTGAAATTAGCTTCCAGAGAGCTGCCACAATTTAACAGAATTTGAAGCTTAATTTATGCCTTTTGTAAGCCAAGTTCCCACTGATTTTCAAGTCATTTGTCTGAACATAATAGGCAATGTGCAAGGAAACAATAATTTGGCCTTTCAGAAATTGTATAATATCCATCCCTCATGGAGTGTGATACCCCTAAACTCCTGCTGAATAATCCCAGACCTGAGCCTGACTCACCTATTAATCAAGTTCACAGAGACAATAAAAAGTGAGACTACTAGAATTCCATTTGCCAAATCTTCAATCCCTAAATGTTATGGTTAGAATCTCAGTTTGTGATCTAGCAAAAAGAAAGAAAAGAAAAAGAGTACCAGGAAAAACCTCTTTGTGCTGAATCACTCATTCCGGTTAGGTTGCTTAACAGTAAATCTGACCCTGCAGTTAAACTCTAGAAATCTGCTCAGACAAGTAGGTGTAACCTTATAAGGATGCCAGGAGATTAAATTCCACCTTAACTCTGGAAAGGTATTTTTATATTTTTCAATGTTGAGAGATGCCCTCTTGTCTATATGAGCTTTTATAATAACTATTCTTGACATCAATGATAGCTATGAAAAATACAAACACCAAGAAGAATCAGAAGAAACATTTTGCTATTAGATTTAAATACTCGTTTCATTTAGTATTTCACTTAAATTCATTTTATTTTGGTATCTTTGAAATTTTTTAAAACATCCTCAGTGCCAAAAGGAGGCAAAATTTATAAATCCAAACAAATGTATAAATGAACAACCCAGGCCCTCTTAAGTAATTTGCCAAATAGAAACAATCCATCTGTATAGGAAAACCCATCAAATTAGAATCTGCAATGTGGGCGAACGAGAGAAAAGATTTTCATCCTTGACCCTGGTTTTGGTTCCTTTCAAAATCAAAATCTTGGGGCCACTGTAAGCTGTGTAATGACAGATAAGCAAAAACAGTGAGCATTCCCTTGTTGTTTCCATGGGTTTCATCAGTTTGTTTTCCATGACTCGTGACGGCTTCCTGAAAAAACTCTCATTTCTTTGATCTCATGGGTCAAATGAATGCTCTTGAGCCAGTTTTCATCAACCAGTCAGCATTCCTACTGTTTCCTATTGTGATTCCTCAGCTGGACCCATATATTTACTAGTTAACTCATTCCCAAAATGAAGTTATGAGTATTCTTCAAAAGGGTTCAGTCCAAATGGTCCAGAGGAATTCAGAAGGATACCCTGAAGATTGAAGAAAAAAAAGACAAATATTATTACCACAAAAATGTTAAGTATTACCTGAAAAGAATTAGTGGAGAATCATTTTTTAAGTCATTTATTAAAACTGTGTATTATAAGAATACCAAAAAACTTCCCAATATCACTTTAAGATTTTATTTATTTATCTGTGAGAGAAAGAGACAGCTTAAGAGAGTGAGCATGAGGGGGGGAAGGGGCAGAGGAAGAAGCTGACTGCCCACTCAGCAGGGAGCCCGATGCCAGGCTTCATCCCAGGAGCCCAGGATCATGACCTGAGCCAAAGGCAGGTGCTTAGCCAACTGAGCCACCCAGGCGCTCCCCAATATCACTGATTAAGAGCTCTTTCCAATCCTGTGTTAGGCAATGGAGCCTCCGTTATAAACCTAGGAAGACTCTGTGGTTAGTGGTAACAAACTTCTCAGCCTAGGACCCAGGAAACATAGGGTCTCCTCGAGCTTCTGTCACTACAGTATGTTTGGGTTAATTTCCTTTTCTATAAAATGAAAGGGTAAGTGTTCATGCAAATTTCTTTTAAAGAGATGTAGAAGTTGGGATTTAATCATCCGTTCAACATATGCTTATTGAACACCTACTAAATGCTAGGCAGCATTTCCTCTGAATGAGGGGGTCTCTCCGTTATGCTCCTTGGGTCCCCTGTGAATACCTCTATCATGTTATTGGCTCTCTGTTGGAATTAAGACTCCTCAATCTGATTTCTCCACTGACTGCATGTTATTTTGCCAATGAGTAGCAGAATTCTGGACATACAGTAAGTGCTCAAAAAACATTAGGTGAATGAACAAAGGGGATCTCTTCATATGCAAGGTCAAGCATCCCTGAATAAGGAAGACCAGAATGAGAGGCATCAAGCATAATATTTCATTAAAACAATTCTATGATTACATTAGTCTAGATTACTTAGCAATTTCTGAGCCAAGAGCAGACTCTGATTCCACTAAGACCCAAACACTAAGACCTGCTTCTCTCTAGTTCCGAACACAAATATATCCTTAGCAGTTAGTTTCCAGTTTGACACATTGAACCACCTGTGCTTGATCCCTTTGCCTCTCTAGATCTGCACTCCATTTTTTTTTCCACCCTGCTTGGTACCCTGGGAGGCCAATCTATATGAACTGCCTCAAACCAGCTCCAGTGTCCTCTAGCTCTGCTTGGGTTTGACCAATGGTAAGTACTGGCACATCGGGGAGAGAGAACAGCCAAAGTGAAATATTCTCTCTCTTCAGGGCAATCACAGGCTGTTGTCACTTGACTAAAAGTCACAGTCCCTATCAGGTAGCCCTCCCGACATAGTCCATCAGTGTGCGTGCGTGCGTGTGTGTGTCTGTCTGTCTGTCTGTCTGCCTCTGTCTCTGTCTCTGTCTCTCTGGCTTCCTTGCCCCTTTAGTCTTAGGGACAGCAGCAGAGCCCCACTGTTACTAGTTTGAGGGTGCTGCGCTCTCCTTTTGGATTTTTCCACAACCTGACTTAATAGACCTTTTATTAAACTCACCTCAAATGATTCCATTTGAGTATACTATTAGTTTCCTGCTAGAATCTTGACTGATAACTACCTAGGTATCATGTATCATGAAGAGCAAATAGTGGTATACACACACACACACTGGAATATTACTCAGCCATAAAAAAAGAATGAAATCTTGCCATTTGCATGGCACAGATGGAGTTAGAGAGTATTATGTTAAGCAAAATAAGTCAAAGACATATTTTGTCTTTCAGAGAAAGACAAATACCATATGATTTCACTCATATATGGAATTTAAGAAACAGAACAAACAAATATGGGGGAGAAAAGAGAGGCAAACCAAGAAACAGACTCTTAAGTTTAGAGAACAAAGTTGGTTGCCAGAGGGGAGGCAGGTGGGGGGATGGGGAAATCTGTGAAGGGGATTAAGGAGAGCACTTGTGATGAGCATCGGGTATTGTACGTAAGTTTTGAATCACTAAATTCTACACCTGAAACTGAAAAAAAAAATAAAGACAAGTAAATGATCTAGCCTATCACCATGAAGCACAATAAAAGGATACTGATAAATGCTAGTGTCTCCCCTCTTCTCTGTTATAATTTTTATACCCCCTACAATAGCTGTCTATAGTGCCTTTAACATAACAGCTACTTAATAAATACGTGTTGAATGAATGAAAAATATTTCTAAGACACTTCTGACCACAGTTTGGGATTTAAGTACATGAAAATCAATGCACATTAATTAGATCATCAGATGTTACATTGAGGGAAGTTCTTAATTTCAGTAATTGAGGGTCAGGGGTTGTTCTGCTTATAAATTCACATTCTCTCTTCTCTCATGTGCCGACTGAAACGATTGGCCTGCTGGGAATATGTATGACCCAACCTGAGGAAACAGCCAAGGGATGAGCTGACATCTCAGGGGCACATGCTGTTTAACAGACTAAGAGATTTGTTTTTTGGTCCTTCTTAGACCTTGGAAAAAATAGTGATTTTATTTCATGTCATCTAATTCATCTGAACCGCTTTTGCAAGTTCATCACTTTTCGTCTCCTACTCCCAGATAGAAATGAAGGTTGGGGTAAATTGTACCTCCTTGGATCTTTCACGTTTATAATGAACAAAGGCAAATCATCAGTAAAGCCAAATCATCACTTACCGTGTATACTGATCTTGCAGATGCACCATGGAAGTAACTTCTAGTTCCGGTATTGGAGGAAGCACTTTCTTGACCTGAGTCAAGGGCAGCCTCTGCTTGGTCTCTATTTTTTAAGAAGGAGAGCTGTTCTAGTCTGTGTTTTGTCAATAGCAATGCAAAAACAGATAACAGTTTCCAGCGTGCGAAGAGAACCATGCCCTCCATCTAGCAAGGATATTGGCAGTTTCCATCACTCCCTAAGTTTCCTGCCTACAACTGTGACACCGTTAACCCATTTCTCTTAATTCTGTTTCTTTCATTTCTCCTCTCCCCCCACTTCCTGAGCTCTAGACCTGATGCATAGTTAGAAGAGCAAAGTAGAGAAAAATATTTTTTACATGCAATGCCAAGTAGAAAGAAAAGAACTTTAGTATGGAAACTGACTGCAAATATTTTCTTTGCATTTTGTTAAAATAGGTCCCTAAGAATTTTTATTAATACCATCTTTGATTTCAGGGACAATTTTACCAAGAAGCCAAGTTCCAAATCAGATGAATTCTAATCTGTCCTCCTTTTCTAGAACTATGTGACATCAAATCCTTCTAATATTATCTGCAGCTGACTTCAAGGTAGGAGATGAAATTTCAGGCCCATGGCATATGGTATCTCTTTCATTCCGCTGGGATCTGGGGCCTTGCTTTTCTAGTTTTTATATTGAAACTTGAGTTTTACATAATACATGTGGTTTTTGCTTCACAGATGTCTCTACTTTTTATACAAAGCCCTGGACATGAATGGAAATGAGGTGACCTATAATTTAAAGAGAAGTTTGAGTAGCTGCTTCTAAGAAGACAAATCAAAAAGGAAGATTTAAGTGTAATCAAGATTATGATGCTTATCAAAATTTTTTTTAATTTTTAAAAATTTCTACATGCATTAAAAAAAACACTATCATGCTTCTTATTCATGAAGATGATTAAACACTGGTACAGATTACCAAAATAGAAATACTGTTAAACTGTCCCTCAGAGTTTTATTCTTTTAATTAGAAAAAAATTTAATAAGAAAGACTTATTTTTTGGACTTAATTTTCTGAATAAGAGATACATTCACATGATTAAAATTTTATAAACTATGAAGGGATATTCAGCAAAATGTCTCCCTCTTACCCCATTTCCTACAGACAACTGCTTTCTACCACATCACATAATTCTTTCCCTTCTCTCCTTCCTTTGCCCCAAACAAGGTTTTTAGATTTTTGTGGATAGAAATATAGATGATAGATAGATTTATACACTTATATGTACATATGTTCTTTTTGTCTTTCTTTACACAATTGGTAGCATACTATACATATATTTTTATGTATATTTAATGGTCTAAGAGATTTTTTCCCGTAAATGCTTCCTCATTCTTTTTTACAATTTCCTGGTATTCCATAGTATGGATGTATCATGCTGTCTTCAAACACCCTCCTATTAGATTGTGTCTAATCTCATATTGCAAACACACTAGCAATAAACATTGCACATACGTTATTTCTCTCCTATGTAAGTAATCCATAGGAGAAATTCCTAGAAATAGAATTGCTGGCTCAAAGGGCTTATGCATGTGTAACTTTGATAGTTATTGCCAAATTTCATATCATAGAAGTTGTACCACTTTAGCCTCCCTGTTCACCTTAGCAAAGTATGAGAGTGCAGAGGGCCTATCGCCCCTTGCTACAGAGTGTGATGGCAAACTTCTGGACTTTTACCAGTCTGGTAGATGAAAATGGCATTTCAGTGTAGCCTTAATTTGCATTTCCACCTGAACATAAGCTCAGTGAGACCAAAGATCTCTGTTTGGCTCATTGCTGTGTCTCCTATACCCAGAAGGCCAATATTATTGGAACATAGTAGACAGCAAAAGAAAAATTTCTTTTGGGAGAATTTACTGTGAATGAGACTAAACAAGCTTTCATATGTTTAAGAGCCATTTGTATTTCCATTTCTATAAACAGTCCATTTATATCCTTTACCCATTTGTCTACTGGGTTATGGTCTTCTCTCCATCAATTATTAGAACTTCCTTATTTACTAGGAAATGTTGCTTATCATATGTGATGAATTGCAAACAATTTTTCCCTAATGGTTTTTACTGTGTACATTCTTTTTCACGTAATCAAATTTATCAGCCTTTTAACTGAATTTTGTGTCATGGATAGACAGCCCTACTTTGTGGTTATAAATTAATTCTACCGTTCTTTCTTCTATTACTTTTATGTTTTCACGTTTACATTAAAATTATTGACTCATTTGAAATTTACCTTAGTATTAGTGTGAACTCTGGATTAAGGTAATCTTCTTTCCTAGATGATTATTCAGTTGTCCCAATACCATTCATTCAATAATCCTTCTCTTTCCTACTGATTAGATATGCCACTCTCATCATTTACTCAAGTCCTAAGCTTTCTAATTTTTCATTAGATATATATTTTTAAAGATTTATTTATTTATTTGAGAGAGAGAATCTTAAGCAGACTCCACACTGAGCAGGGGAGCTGGACGCAGGGCTCGATCTCATGACCCTGAGATCACGACCTGAGCCGAAATCAAGAGTTAGACGTTTAACTGACAGGTGCCCCTCATTAGATATTTTCATCTACTTAAGTACCAGTACCATGGTGGAATGGATACCTCTCCTCTTTCTTCTTCTATGTCAATTTTTTCCCAGCTATTAGTGACAACTTATTTTTCATCAGGATATTAAAATAACCTTGTTCATGATTTAGGAAGAACTGATAACTTTATATATTCATCTTTCATATTCAAGAACATGATATACCATTTTGTTGTTGTTCAAGTCATTTTTATGACTCTCAGGAGGATTTTTCTGAGGTTTTCTTTAGAAAGATTTTGTGTAGTTCTTTATATTAATTTTATTCCAGTTATTTTATCTTTTATGGTTATTTTAAATGCAGCAGTATCTTTTAACTGGTTGTTATTTAAAGATATGAATGCTGGGGTTAAGAGACTCTTATCTCAGGAAACAAACTGAGGGTTCCTGGAGTGGTGGGAGGTGGGAGGGATGGGGTGGCTGGGTGATAGACATTGGGGAGGGTATGTGCTATGGTGAGCGCTGTGAATTGTGCAAGACTGTTGAATCACAGATCTGTACCTCTGAAACAAATAATACATTATATGTTAAAAAAAGATCATTATATTCTCTTTGCATTTAACTATTATAAGAAAAAGAATAATTAAATATTAAGGAAAATCTTAAATATTGAATTTTTTAAAACCCTCAAATAAAATATTTTTAAATTATTTAAAAAAAAAGATATGAATGCTGGGGTACCTGGGTGGCTCAGTCCATTAAGTGTCTGCCTTTGGCTCAGGTCATGGTCCCAGGGTCCTGGGATCGAGCCCTGCATCCGGCTCCCAGCTCAGCGGGAAGCCTGCTTCTCCCTCTCCCACTCCCCCTGCTTGTGTTCCCTCTCTAGCTGTCTCTCTCTGTGTCAAATAAATAAATAAAATCTTTAAAAAAAAAAAAGATATGAATGCTATTGATTTTTGTCTTAATTTCATACCTTGTCTCTTACTGAATTTTATTTTTAAAGAATTTTTTTTAGAGAATTTTCTTTAATTTTCCAGGTACACAAAGTGATCATTTTCCCTTACCAGTTTGTTGTGTTTTTTTTAAGATTTTATTTATTTATTTTGACAGAGAGAGAGACAGTGAGAGAGGGAACACAAACAGGGGGAGTGGGCGAGGGAGAAGCAGGCTTCCTGCCGAGCAGGGAGCCCCATGCGGGGCTCGATACCAGGACCCTGGGATCATGACCTGAGCCAAAGGCAGACGCTTAACGACTGAGCCACCCAGGTGCCCCTCCCTTTCCAATTTGTTAACCAGAGATCTTTGTCTCTTACCTAATTGTGTTGACCAGTACTTTCAGGACAATGGTAGGTAAAGTGGCAACAGTGGACATTCTTGAAAATTCCTGGCTTTACAGACATGCTTTTAGTGTCTCCCTAGTAAGTATGATTCTGGGGTTTTGTTTGAGACAGATATATGTTATCAGGTTAAGGAAGTACCTATTTATCTTATTTTTATTGGGAGTTTTATGAAGGATGGGCATTATAGTTTGTCAAGTGCATTTTTAGGATATATAGAGATCACCAAATTTTCCCTTTGCTCTATTAATATGAGTGACATTAATAGATATCTCCTAACGGAGAACTGTCCCTATATTCTTGGAATAAGCTCTTCTTGGTCATAGTAGGAGTGTGTATATGTATGTATATATACATATATGTTTTTATACTGTGATACTAGTGGATTCTTTTGCTAATATTTGTTCAGAATTTTTGCATAGACATACATGAGTAAGATTGCTCAATGATTTCATTTTAGACACAATCTTTCTTAGCTTTATATGTTATTAATGTTTATTTCACAATAGAATTAAGAAACATCCTTCTTTCCTTCTTTTCTATGGTCAATAACAGTTTAAATACAATTGGAAATATCAGTGTTTTAGAGACTGGTCAAAATTCCCCTGTGAACTCTTCTTTCTGTTACTTTTTCAGGGATAACTGACAAATTTTCTATTTCTTCTATGATAATTGTTTTGTTTAGATTTTCTATTTCTTCTGGTATCAGGTTTTGTCAATTTTTCCAGAAAATTATCGATCCTAATTAGAGATGTTAAAAAGTAGCAAGTGCTCTTTAAGGAACAGGAATAGATGCCCTTTGGGGACCATTTCCACAGACATTGAAGACCCTTCCATTCCTATGGAAATGCTAAAATAACCACCAAAGCTAGAATTTCTTCTTACAGAGTATTTGGCCTTCTAAACGGTAAGTGACAAAGCTTTCCTGACTGGTTAGGACAAAGGTGAGAAAATGAGACCAGTCTTTACCTGGACACAAAGCTCTCATCTCCTTGTTCTCCTCCCCACAGACCGATTTCCCTGGATCCCCTTAGCATCCTTTTTTTTTACCTTATTGTCAGTAAGTACAAACCACATCTATACGGGGCTAGTTCCCTCATCCCTGTTTGTCTCACACTGAAAGTTCCTAGGAAGCTGTGATTCTGTCTTCCTAAATCTGTGCTTCTCAGAGGGTGGGTGTGGTAGGCGG